ACTGCGTGCTAACACTATGGAACAAATGGAACGTTCAAATGCTATCCTCAAAAAGAAAGGCAACTACAAAGAGAGACAAACACGCAAAGAAAGCTAGAAAGGAAGCGGAAGCAAGCAAGGCATATAATTTTCGTATGACTTGCAGTGGCGTAGCTAGGGTGGGGCAAGAGGGGGACATCTGTCCCCGGGCGCAGCATCTAAGGGGCGCCAAATTGATGCTACGAAATGTTTTCCATTTTTGGCACACAGAAAGGGGCGCAAATTATTCAGTTGTCCCCGGGCGCTGGAAACTCTAGCTACGCCCCTGATGACTTGCTATAATAAGTATCTTTCACTGTTTATGGCCTTCAAATATTTAGTTTAATTTAATTCAATAGTATTTGAACAGTAAGATAACTTCCCTTTTCACTATTCACGAAGCTACAAGAGAGCAGATCTATCAATTGGAATGACTTTCAACTGAAACAAACTCTAAAATTTAATTCCAGTCACTCTTTTTTTTTTTTTTTTTTTTTTTTTTTTTTTGTTGTTGTTGTTGTGACTTATCTCACTTCTCTGAAAGTAACATCAGAACAAGTGCCCACGAAATTCTTCACAGCAAGGGGTGAAAGACTGCGCCTGTCGTTGACAAGAGCTTTGAGCACCATAGAGGTGACAGTTTAACTTTGCTCAGTTCCGTCCCAAACTTTGAACGACAGCATCCCGGGGGAACGGGCCCAAGGGTCTCACACTCCCCTACCATAAACTTCGCAAAAGGAATTTCGGCTCACCGCATATTTAGAGAGCCTCCATGCCGCACGGACAATATACATTTACAAGCATCCATGCCTTCTCCGGGATTCGAACCCAGGCCCTTCGATACCGCAGTAAGTTCCCCTAAAAATATTTTTTAAGCCACCAAAAATAATTACTTTTTTCTCTCAATTTAATTCTAGGTTACTAAATGCACCTAGCAACTAACCCTTTCCCATTAAGAAATACGTTATGCATATTGTATTATATAGAGCAAATATCAGTACAGTAAATTAAGACGGTTGGCTAAACATATGGAAATTTCATTCGTTTTAATTTCAATTTATCCACATAAAATTAATTTATTTTTGCGTATAAACGGGGATGAAACTGTAAGCAGATACAATAAACCCGCTTCATTTTACTGCATCTCTAAGACGACCATCTCGGAAAGTGACCAACATTTCTGAGAGAATGTGAAAAAAAAAAAAGTTTGGTATTGAAAATTTTAACAGCTAATTTTGATTTTCGCTACAACAAACACTGCCTAACCCGGCTGAGATCATCCGTATTAAACTGACTGCCAAAACATTTTATTTCGCAGCCAAGCTGCGAAGCTTTTATTTTGTGTTCCAAATAAATCAAGACGTAATTCTTAGAGTAACAGAAAAATTATTTTATGGTAAACTGAAGTTACTTCAGCAAGACTTTAATTTATCTTTAAATCTGGTTCCACTCGGTCACATTTATTTCGAAGCTGGCAGATCAAATAATACAGGCATGTTATTTTTTTATCTTGAATTTTGTAAATTTCAAGTAATTAACTTTAAATTAACATGTCTGCGAAGCAAAGAAAATAAAAACAGGAAATTTAGAAACACACCCAAAAGTTATCAAAGATGCTACTGGTTGTCAGTTTGCAAATAGGATTGACAGACTTCATTGGATCAACAGTTTTTAAAGCAGTATTGTTTTGGATCAAGGTTCATAGTAGTATCAAGGTACTACTACTTCATAGTAGACTTGATACTACTACTTCATAGTAGTATCAAGGTAGTCGCGCATAAAGATATTCGTTGTAGTATTTTCACGACTTTACTCATCTTTCTAAATTTAAGAAAAAACGGAGTGAGCTAGAAAAAGAGACAAGTCAAATAACAGAAACATATCTCTACCAATAAGAAAATTTCAAAATAAGCAGCAGAATATAACATACAAAAAAATTATTTATATTGACAAATTTTTTTTTGTGTTTATTTTGTTATATTTTGATCCTTTTGTTAAACTGCTGAATTTTCTACCTGTTACGAAAACATATCTTGTTAAGTAACATGTATAATTATATTCGAACTTTCCTTTTTTTACCAAAGGAAAGGCTCGAATTACTTAGTGAATTGTGTACTCAGCGTAAATGATTAAGGTTGGAATGGGAATGACTCTGTAAAATGTAGTGCAATATTTCCATATTTTATCAAACTTGAATCCGCAAGGAAAGTGAAATTTATTTATTCTTCTACACAAACCGCTTTCCTTTAGGGAGATAGCATACTTGCAAATTTTGGCAGAGTAATAAATGTCTCAAAACTAAAGTTTATAAGCAATTAACAATACACCATTGAAAAAGTGTATGCTTTGTATATAGAATACTGCATGAAACTAAAAAATGCTGTTTAATTGGACTATTTGAAACTTCTAGATGAAAATACTAATACAATAACTCAAAAGCTAAGTTTCCTGATAGCAAGTAAAATATACGCTGATAGCCACGAAAGTTATTTCTAAGTGTAAAAGAAAAAATGAAATGACGGGCTTTCCATATGGAAATTTTGATCCCTATTTTATGTATGACAGGAAGTGTAGAGTATGCCTTGAGCAGCAGGACGGAAAATTGCAATATTGGTCCGAGTTTGGCAAGTGTCCGAAGCCAGAATGATTAATCGCCAAATGCGCAACTTTAGTTTTTGTGAATGTGCCCTAAACTTCTAATTCTATGAATTAAATTAAATCTATGAGATGCATAGAAAAAATTACCTAAATATTAAATTGCTTCTTGAATATATCTCAGAACTTTGCACTTAAAGGTATGAAATGTTTAGTTGTTAATTAATTAAAGTATGAGATTTACTTGATTTCTGAAGGTTTTACTATACGGAGATTATAAAAAAATTTAATTTTACTTGTAGAGAACCCTCCTATCTGCACTGTTAAAGCTCATAAAATATTTTGTCTATTTTTATAAAATTTGGCAATTGATAGTGTGAGTCCAGGATTAAGGAAATTAAATCCCAGTTTTTTTTTCTAATGATGTACACTGCGAAAAAAAATCTGAAAGCTTTCAGATTTTACATTACGCACAAAAGTGCGTATTTTTTAGCGCTTAATTATTCAATATCATATTCTTCGCACTTAATCCATAAAATTCAGTTCAACAGCAATATCGTATTTTAAAATGAGCATATCTTTAGAATTTCCAATACACACTTTCGCGCGCTGGAGATAATTCTTATTTCTTTTTTCCGTACAGTGTTGCCATTGCTTGCTTTGAAATCACTTTGTTAATCAAAAATTCGTTAAAGTTTTGCAAAATATGAAATAGATAATAAAACAAATTCCAAATTTGGGCTTCCAGATGCCCATATTCGAGTGGAAACGTACCGTTATTCAAGATTTCATGACTCTAGGTACCGTTGTTTTATCACAATGCGAGAAACATACATACATTTACGCAGATTCTTCATTATTTAATTTCTTTAAATATAATACAGGGCTCTAATATATGGTTGGAAACAATTTGAAAAGTGAACCGACATTTATATTATTTTAAAAGCACAGTTCTACATCTCCCGCTCTACTGGGCGGATTGACGAAATTCAGCTTGCGTTTTCTATGTCTTGTATGTATGTATGTATGTGTGTGATTATGGCAAAGCCTCGAGGGCTATCTGCCTAAGGGGGGGATGCCTTCGTGTAGGACTTTCTAAGGGAAACTGGCTCTCGTATACACGTTACACATGGGGAAAACCATTTTCTATGTCTCGAAAGCGCGACTTAGGATATGTATCAGATTTATATATTGCATTGTTCTATTAATATAGGTATTTTGTCACAAAACCGGACTTTTTTTTAAATGAGGTGTCAATGTTTTTCCATATTTAGATTCCACGACTCAAATTATGCCAAACTGCTAAGTTTTGTAAAAATCGCAGGAGCGTTTTTTTAAAAAATTAGCTCTCGTAATTTTCTCTCCTTCATGTTAATTGAATTTGGTATATATTTATTAATATCTCTTTTTTCTAATTAAACTTTTTTTATTCTTCCTTTCACATTTAAATCCCTCCCCCATTTTTTATGATTTATTATTAAAATTTGTATTTTTAAATAATTTTTATAAATTTTTCGAAAAAAGTTTTTTTTATAACCTATAAAAGTTTTACCATCACCATTAAGTAGATGTATTGCTAAGGATACTTGCGAAAAATTAGTTTTTTTATTCAAAATTTCCTAAGATATACATGAATTTACATATTAGCACGTTTTGAAATTTGGCATATTTGTTTATAAGCGATAATAACGCCAAATGTGTTTTACGCACTTTGTTAAAATTATTTGAAAGTAATAAACGATGACCTTTTTTTTCCGCTTGTGTACAGGTTACAGGTTACGGATGACGGGGACGGCTGGTGTCTAACATAGGTAAACAGGCGTATTTCTTACACCCTCCCCTATCTAGCGGCAACAATTCCCTGGAGCACCAAGATTCTGCGTCGGGAGTTTATTGAGACATGAAAAAGGTTGTACATGGCCAAACAAGGGCGCTCGTGTTTTGATAAATTAAAAAGTTTTTCAGGTGAATTATTCTTGGCGCAAACTGAAAAAAGTGCGCCAAGATAAATTTTTGAATTTCTCCGTAAATTTAGCACCAAATTTTACAAAATTTTATATTTAGGCATAATTTGAGTAGTAGAAACGAAATATGGAAAAAAAATTGGCGTATCATTTCAGAAAAAGTCCGATTTTGTGTCAAAATACTTATATTAGAACAATACTATATATAAATCTAATACATATCCTAAGTCGCTTTTGAGACATTAAAATTGCAGTTTGAATTTCGTCAATCGGCCCAGTAGAATGGGAGATATAGAACTGTCCCTCTTTCAGATATAGAACTTCTTTTTTTCACAGTGTACATGCTATGACTACTCAGCTATAAAGCTTTTGTTGAATCTGTAGTGGCCCCGATGTCATTTAATTTGGAAAGTTTATAGTTACCTGAAAGTCATATTTGATGTCAGCTTTACTTCCAGAAGTGGAAATGACAAGAAATTGGCAACTATATACATTTCCGGTAACTGGAGTAGAAGTAACACTGACTTTTTTTTCCAGCCATTCAGGAAAAGTATGGTTTGATGAAGTCCAGCGTGTAACCATTCTTACACCTTGTGAAGTTACTTGCGGACACCGTGTTCCGCTGGTCCAAATTGCAGTCGGGATTGCTGGGGATAAATTTAGAGAAGTAATATTATTTTTTAAAGAATTAAAAAATATATTCATAAAGTTACTGTTCCCAGTTTCTGAGAAATCTTTGATTTCATGCGTGCAAAGATAATTTTGGTCATGAGTGTATTTATGCAAATTTATAATAACACTAAAGATATCACGCCTAAATGTGAGACTGAAAATGTTATTTCTGAATCTTTCGTTACATTCTCAGATGCCACCTCTTAGCATCAAATTCGGTTTAATAAAAATATGCTAGAGTACAGTGGATCGAAACACCAAAAGTTTTTCATGTTTTAAAAAATTGCAAAAATTAGTGAAACTAAACCTATAAGAAGTATTTTTCCAACCCTTACGTTGGGGAATTAAAAATTGATCGTGAATTTCAAATTATAATAAGCTGGCACCCCTTTTATTCCAGAGATGGATCTCGGAAGTCATATTACGTATCGACTGCTCCAGTCGTAGTTGCCCTAGCAGCGCAACTAATATTAACAACATATAAGACTTATACGGGAAGTAGTAGGACTGATTTTATGCCGCCAAAACGCGGTGAAGGAGGGGAACGTTACTGCGCTGGTTGGGTTGTGGGAGATGTTAGCTACCAACGCACCAGTGTCCAGTCGTCTCCAAGCTCTCACGGAGTGTAAATTGAGTTTAAAGTGAACCCCTTTCAAGGTACCTTATCATCTCCACAATGAATCGTTTGTTAGAGCAGCGTTACGCGATGAGCTTTTGCGTCAAATTGGGTAAAACTGCGAGTGAGACCTATGACATGATAAAGACTGCTTATGGGAGTGATGCCATGGTTCGATCAAGTGTTTTTGAGTGGCAGAAATTGTTCCGTGAGGTAAAAGGGCAAGTTGAAGATGAGCAACTGTCAAGAAGCTCTTCAACGGCAAAAAGTGACGAAAACTTAATGAAAGTGAGAAATCTTTTGAACTCTGACCACCTCAGACTCGTGGAGTCTCCATCACGACAATGCGCCGAAACTGAAGTCCATTGCTGCCATGGACTTCCTCACCAAACATGGCATCACACAGCTTTTCCAGCCACCCCATAGTCCAAATATCTCTCCTTCACTCTTCTTCCTCTTTTCCGACTGAAAAGAATCATGAAAGGACGGTACCACGGCTCGGTCCAGGCCATTCAAGAGACGTAACGAGGGAACTGAAGAGCATTCGAGTTTTTCCGTTCGAAGGAGCCTATAGTGATTGTAGAGTCGCTGGAAATGCTGTGTTGATGTAGAAGGAGACATATTTTGAAAACTATTAAGTCAATGTGTCAAAACTGTGAATATTTTTTTTTCAATTTAGTCCTACTACTTTTCGGACAAACCCTGTACTGTATATTCTTGTGAGTACGTGGATAAATTTGTATATTTTATGGAAAAAGTGAGAATATGATTTTTACATGATTAAAACATAGTCACATTTAGAATTGCGTGTTAATTTATCTTTTAAATTTCACATATATATTCGCATTTTTTATATTTCTTAATCTATCGTGTATGCTCATTTAATGTTTTAATTTCATATGTAATCATTTATTATTTCAATAAGCGTTCATTTTTAATAAACCACTAATTTTAAATTACGTCGCAGCATGATCCTCTTTAAGTTTGATATTGTATTATTTAGTATAGTATCTCAAGTCGCTCGTTAAATAAAGCCAGCGTGCTTTATTTATTGAATTTCTTCTTTTAACTAATTATCCATTTTTGATTAATTCCTTTAACATAGCGCCTTATCACCTTCACCTTTCTTTTCCTTAACTTATTATCGATTATTTTTTCAAATTTGCATTTTCATTCTATTTAATCCTATTACGGTGGTAGTTCGTACTACATACTTCAAACGTTTCCATTGTTTTAAAGAACGGGAAATTAGGATTTATTTAGATAAGATTCATTTACGTTACTACACAGATGTTTTCCACTCATTAATTTTAACGCACGTTCTCTTCGCAACATTAAGTTTCCTTTATCTGTCAAGCATTGTGAAAAAAAATACTAACGTTTACTGCTTTCCTCCTGACGTATAAAATGGCTTTTGCTAGTACCCGTTTTATGCAAAATGTATTTGTATTTTGTGCGAAAAATGCATTTATTTGTTATAGCGTTAGTACATTACAAACATATCTTTTAATCCATAGATTACTAATACAATGCAGCAGAAAATAAAGATCGCATATTAATTTTTACTATTAACCTTTAATCAAAAATGCTCAGAATATTTTAATCAGATATGGAACGGCTTTCATATTACTAGTACCCGCACATCCCACTTTTAATCCAATGAACGGAGGGTATAAATTTACAGATTCATTTATATCAAAATCATCAGAAAACTTTAAAAAAAAAAAAAAAAAAAAACTACACATTAGCTACTGTTGCAATTATTTTAGAAATTATCAAATATTTTATGATACCACAAATGTCTGAATTTTAGGTTTTAAGAGAATATTATGTTTTCAGAGAAACTATCGCTATTTTTTTTTTTTTCATATAAAATCCTCATTTCAGTTAGAAATAATAAAAGAGAATTCGCAAAGTCTTATTCTAAAGGATTACTAATGGAATATTGCCCCAAAACATATTATTTTAATTCTTCGTTAGAGTAAAAGAATTTCATCGCATTTTATGAATGTACAAATTTCGCGATCCGGTTTTCGTGATCAACATTGTGCTATTATTCGCTCGTCATGCCAGCAGTCCGAAGTTCACTCACTGAATAGCTTGAATAGTGTTTGAATAGTTGATTGATTATTCACTCATATATTTCAAAGTTTATTTCTAGAAGTCCCAGATTACTAACACCAGCTAGCTCAATTGCACATGAATAAGGACAACCTGTCGTTTTACGGTATACTCCCTGTCAGTATACTGCCTGGAAGCTCAGTGAAAGGGACTCGGCGCGTCTAGATTGGCTGCTATATATAAATCTAATACATATCCTAAGTTGCTTTTGAGACATTAAAATTGCAGTTTGAATTTCGTCAATCGGCCCAGTAGAATGGGAGATATAGAACTGTCCCTCTTTCAGATACAGAACTTCTTTTTTTCGCAGCGTACATGTTACATTTCTTTGATTCTGGAAGAGTCTTCTGAATTATTTATTTCTCGTAATAAGATCGTAGTAAATTAATTTATTTCCTTCTCAGAATAAACTCGTTGATGTCTTTCTCACCAACCACTATTTTCCGGTCATTGTTCTTCTTTCCCACCTCGACAGATCCTTTCTTTTCGTTTCGTTGAACTAGTTTCAGATTGTCGCTACTTCATACCTCAGCGCTAACGGGTCTGTAGTATAAAACCAAGAAATATCCAAGGAATCGCCAAGACTTTCATTACATCAAAAACTGTTAAAGAATTTATTTTAAGTTTGTTTATACTTTTAAGCACAAAGTAGACTTACAGAAAAACAAATAAAAACGCACGCAAAAAGGGACAATAATTATAAAATTAAACGTAAGTGAACTTGTCCTGTATTTAAGCTTAAGCAGCAATCCGTACTGAAATAAACTAAGATGTGCTGAATCCGTATAACATATAGAATTAGGAAACTGAATTCTTATCAAGTGTCTGTAGGCTTAAAAATCTGCCTTCTGTAATGTAATGGAAACGAATATGAAGGGGGAAAATACACGATGTAAAAAAATAAGGCTTATTCGAAAGGTCTAAGCGAAAATGGATTATATTGATATTTCTTAAGTATCTTTTCAAATAATCTTCCGCGTTTTCATTCTTGTAATACATATATTTTAGAAAAAGCTGCATAAAATCTGTTGGCTTAGCTATATATATATCCCGTTTAATAAAATAATAAAACACACATATTTGCTGTCTAAAAAAGTAAAACTGTGAGGGATGATAGAAAATTTGAAAAAATATTAAAAGTAAATATAAGTAAGCGAAAAAGAATTAGGAATATGGAACACGTAAAATTTCAAAACGTAGAAAAAGGGGAAAAATGTTAAGACATAATTTAAAAAGCATGACTAAAATGTAACAATAAATTTACAGTTTGAGCAAAAACAAGAATTCATAATACTATAATAAAGCAAGAAAAACTACAGAAGTAACTTTATATTTGTGGAAAAAATATTCAAATTCAGAGCGCAGTACAGAAGTCTGTAAGATGAAATTCAATAATGAAAAAAATTTTATTTGAAAACCAAAAAGTATTTCAAAACTGCTTTTGAAATAATAATTCAGCATTTGTAAATGAGGGACCTTTGTTTTTTTTTTTTTTTTTTTTTTTTTTAAAGGAGAGTTAAGAAAAATTAAGATAATATAAATAAATCATAAAATAAATCACTTTTAAACAAAAATATAATTAGAAATTTTTTTTATTTCGATTAGCAATCTTGCAAAGATTAAATATGTGAAAGGCAATAAATATTCTCTTTTGTATGTTTCAAGCGGCATAATTGGAGTATTGTATAAAGTATTACAAACTGAAAATTAAAATAACAAAGCACTCTTTTAAAATCTGTTTTTCAAATCTCACCATTATCTTTATGAGGAAGCTAGCTCTCCACCATCCTCTCTCTTTTATTAAGAGTTTTTTTCTTTGATTGTTTATAGATAAAAAATCAGGGTGTATTTTTCAGACTCTTAAGGAAGGAAGACTATAAGGACTCTTAAGGAAGATAAGGACTCTTAAGGAAGATAAGGACTCTTAAGGAATTAAGAAGGACTCTTAAGGAAGGAATTTTCAAGTAAAGAGGAAGGCACTTTCCATTCGATTTTAAAATTCTTCTCGTAAACTCTGTTTTTTTTTTTTTTTTTTTTTTTTTTTTTTCAATTTATTTTTGCATTACAATCAACATCTTCTATTTTGCATTATCATAGCCTTTCAGAAATAGTGAATATTAATGTATGATATATCATGCAGAAAATAGCTGCCATTATTTACATAATTTTAATTTGCATTTCTGAGAGAAAATAAGAATAATTTTTTTTTAAAGATTCAATCTTTGCTTCTTTCGTATA